TATTTTACGCCAGTCTCAATGTTGACGTCATTTAATATATTAATAACAAAAATGTATTTAAATAAAATTTTTTATATATTTATTTTTATATGAATTTTTTCATTGAAATTAATTTTATAAATTTTGTTATACATTATTTTTAGCTAATCACAAAGATTATAATAGTCATAAAAGATCAAAAGAAAATTTAACAGCAACAACGCCATGTGATGAACAAATGCCGATTTCCACCTCATCATCCACATCTTCAAATCGTTCACCACTAACGAGAAGTTGTTCCAGTCCTGCTGTATATGGTGAGTTTAAATAAAAGTCAAATAAAATTCAAATGCACTAATTATTAATTAGATTATAAAGATTTAGAATTATTTACTTACTTTATATTATTGTATTTATATTGCTTTATATTGCTGTTGTAATATTGAATAGCTATTGGTGGTTAAACATGGCAATTGGCTACCAGTTGCTCTTTAAATCCCAGCTTAAATTAATTGCCATTGTTATGTCCGAAGAGAACTGGTTTCGTCGCTATTGTGATGAGCAAATCAATTGTGGAATTGGTCTTCTGGAAAGACCATGCTTTGAACCTTTATAATATTTGTTTTTCATTAAACCGTATCAAGCCCAAACTCTTGAACCAACAAATATTGTTAGGCTTATGAATATTGAATATTTAAAATAATAATAGTAGATCTAGCTATTAAATTCTTACCTTAAGAATCCTAGGTTAGGTTGAAGTGCCGACCTTATGTTCAAAACCCACTTGAGCTCAAGTAATGGCGATTTAGGATACCGCAAACCTAAAAGTCTTCTGGTTTGCCAAAAAGTCTAAGTAGTACATTTAGATTTTTCTAGCCTAAGAACCTAAAATTCAAGCCTAAAATTTGAATTAAACACAGAAAACTGCCGTGGGAAAATATTGCATTCAAATTGCCCGGAAATTGTCCATAAACAATTGTAGTTTAGAATAAAATGTTAAAAGTTTATTGTGTAGTTAAAAACCCCGATTATTCTATTAAAATACTATAACATTTTCTCTACTTTCTGGTTCAATATTCTTACTCTACTTTTTTTATTATGTCACTAATAATCTGTTAGAGTATCATCAATCCTTTTTATATGTAGTGAAGTCACTAAAAATCTTCCAAGGTCTCCATAAGGTAACTACCTAACTATTAAATGAAGTGTAAAGTAATGCATCAGAAAATTTTCCGTAACCTTCATTAAATAAATTTCACCACACCACCATCGCCGTTCCGTTACAGACAAGATGCATGACACTGATAAAATGGTAGAGCTACTTTTTTTTTTTTAATTTAATATCTTAATGCATATTACATACTGAAATGCAAAATTTTTAATATGATTAAATGCAAATTATTTTAAAATTTAAATTTAAACACGTGCGGTAAAATTATGATAAAAACCTAAGCTTCTCTTGCAAATAGAAAATTAAAAAGCAGTTTAAATGCACTTCAATGTCAAACTCACATCTATATACGGTTACAAACATACATATGAATAGATATAGTTTACGTTATCTTTATATAGATATAAACAGATTCTTTACGAAACAAAAAAAGACTTGATTTTTTATAAATTAAGTAATTTTACCTTCAAATGCAGTCGAAAACTTCCGTAAATATTTTGTTGTTGTCGTTGTTGTTGTTGTTGTTGTCAGATTGATTAAGTATCAATTTGCATTAAAGCTCGAGAAGAAAAATGCGACATTTCCATATAGTTTTGTGCGGAAAGCTGTCAGAGAGGGTATAGTACGTGCACCACCTCACTACTCACTCCGCTTTGCCTTGGCTTGCCTATGACAGTTTAGTGTAAAATGCAATTTAATGCACTTAAAAAACTGTATTTACTTCGCTACTTTTTATGGCACGTATTTTGTTGGCAATTAAGTGCTGCAGCGGAGCAAATTAGCATATATGACGTTGTCTCTCGTAAGGCAATAATTGAAGCTGAAATATAGTAAAAATATTCAAAATATATAATGCGTCTATATAATTGCTAGCTAATTGTTATTGTAAAATTTTACTTATGTTTTTTCCACTTTTTTTGCAACTTTTTATTGTTTACAATTTTTTTACAATTCCGACTTGTAAATTATTTTATTTATTTATTATTTTTTTATTACTTAATAAATTGTAAACAAATCCAATATTTGTTCTTCAGCTGTTAGTCGATTCCATCGGTTTTTTCTGAGTCATACATAATACTATTTATAAATTATAGAAGTATTAATTGCCTGCCCTGGCAAAGGTTGAAGTTTTGCTAATACAATATATTTTATTGATTATTATACAATTTTTTTAAATGAATTTCTGGGAATCCCTCGTCAAATTTAAAAATATGACATAGAAGAAATTCCATGGAATTATTTTCTACTTCATATTTAAGGTAGGTGCTTTTTTTGGAAAATGATAACGAATCATTGAATTATTTAAGATTTAAGGGAAAATACGAAATGTATGGAAAATAGATTGTTAGTGAAAATTGGAAATTTTCTCTTGATTGATGAATAATGAGTACTCCGAATTGCAACACAAAACAGCTTCTAGCTGACTAGATCAAAAACACACTCACTCAAAATATGAACAAACTCAAGTTTTTTGCAATATTCTCACAATAATAATTTTTCTTGTAAGTAATTTGTTTATAATAGTTGGCTAGTTGGTAGTCAAAGAAGCCAAAAGCTTAAAACAACAAAGTAAGGGCAGTGTATGAATTCTTATAGTAATCAATGCTCTTTGCAACATAATAATTTATTTATAATTATAATAATCTCACAATAATAATTTTTGTTGTAAGTAATATTTGTATAATAGTTGGCTAGTCAAAGGAAATGAACCCAGCAAACAGATCCAATTTATCGATTGAGTTAAAACAACAAGAGAAAGCCAACGTATTAATACTATCTTTAGTAAACTGAGATTAACAATTTAATCAAAATTGGAATAGTGTAATAGTGTTCATAGTGTCTTGTAATTCAATCAGAAAATTTACTTTTTGACTCTTTGTTTAAGGAAGGTGTGCAACATTTCATCGTCTTAAAAGATGATTGACTGTCAGTCCCCGGAACCATGATCATTGTTTAAGAATCTTTGAATGTCTAACAAATTTTTAAACCAATACCGCTACCAGCTTAATCTTGTTGACACCAATTGAGTATCTTATTATCATTCTATAAATTTCGATATAAAGCGACTAAAAGAAGTTCCCAGATTTCCGATAATAGTGATGACAATAGTACCATTATTAATTGAATGTCAAATAAAATAAAAAAGAATGGAATTATTTAATGATGACTATGTTTAAATAAACCATTTAAAAGCATGCATATGTATATCCTGTTAAGTATTTATATATGCCTAATTCTTTAATTAATTTAAATTATCTAAAAACAATATGTAATATTATTTTGGGAACCTAGTTTAATTATAGCTATAAAATGTCATAAATGTTATGCTTTTGTAAGAGAGTTTCAAAAGAATACTCGCTTTTTTATATATGAGTTCTCTTTAGCTGTCGAATAACTTACATAATAACAATAACTTCAAATTGTTTAATGTTTTCACGAATTCTCATTGTAATTTAAAGGATTAAAGTAAATAAATTTTTTTTTCTCTTTGCTAAATGACTTATAAATTCTATTATTTGATATTAAAATTTGTATTTTAGTTGACCATCGTTCTAAAATTTAATTATTCTAGAATTCAATGTAAAAAAATTGTTACAACAATACCTTAAATATTGGGTTTCCCCAACATTGATTTTGTGTCCTAGAAACTCCATAGAAGAAGAAGGGAAGTAATTCATTTTACTTCATTCCATATGCACTGCTGCATAGCTGGTGTAACTATTTTTATTGAAATTACTATGCAATACGAAATTATTTTATTGCCATAACAAAAAGTCTGATTACAAGTTTCCATAGTTATACAACAACAAAAAAAATAGTAAAAGAAAAAACAATAAACTCATTAACCGCTTTATAACCTAATTCCACTGTAAAAATAATCAATATAAAAACAGAAATAATTTAAGTAACTAAAGTGACTGACGACTGACTAATGCGCGGCAGTGTGCTGTGCAGTATCAGTGCTTAGCGCCTCCAAATGACGTAGTACAGAATACCAAAATGTGCTGTTATAATTAGTACAACTTTACTGTTATATGTCGTTGGTTTGGTATAACAGTAAAATAATGATTGCTTATTTATGCAAGTATAACAGTAAGAAATGAAAGGTACACTGTCACTGTACACTACTAACAGAAAAAGACTGCATGGGAATAACATAAAAAACAAAAAAGTAATAAATTTAATTATGAAACAAATTAAAATATCACAAATGAAAGCATTAGAGTAATAAAAAAATGTTTGCAATTTTTTTAAAAGTCCAACAAATTAATATACAAAAAGAAATATGTATATATGTATACAAAAATATTGTAAACGTAGTACTGTTAGTTATTTGCTTTTCTTGCATGACTCATTGGGGCAACACATCACTAAGAGTGCCTCCTCGTAAATATATAGATACTTATAATACCCACTGTTTCGTAAAAAAAACTGTTTCTTTTATTTTCTTCGATACTTTTTCTGCTAGTTTCTTTGAACTGTGGGCAGAAGACGTAGTCGTCAGACATTCAGTCAGTTCAAGTTACTTTTTTGAAGTTCAGCTATGCTTAATTTCACTCCATTCTATTAATTTCTGAGATTTATTTTTAAACGTAAATATGCCTTTCTATGAATGACGACGACTTATGTTTTCTTTTTTATTCTATTTTTCAATTTCGTTATGTTTAGCGGTGCAGGGGGGTTTAAAAACGTAAACGAAAATAGTCAACAACATCTCTAATATTAAATATCGTATCGTATCGTATCGTACTGTATTGTATCTATTGCAGTAAAAGTTAGCAACAACAATATAAACAACAACAGTGCTGCAACAGCAGCGTGATACGATCAGATCACTTAAAAGATTAGTTTAAGCAGCGTGCATCGCACATGAAAACTCTCGAAGCGTTACAGCGAGATTTTCTACATACATAATTATTTATACAATATTATGTATATTTTACAAAAAAAGA